CTTGGAAGATATTATCGTTGCCAACCCGCAGCCAACAAACATACTTTCTCCATTGTGTCTTTCTGTGTTGTAAAGCATATATCAGCCCTGACTTCCATTTATACACCTCTATCATATCGCCCCTCACTCTACGTCTCTCGAGGGAGTGCAAATTAAGAAGCTTTAACCTGTCTCTGTACTCAAGGTTCCTAATGCCCAGGATTAGTCTTGTCTGAATTCTTTCCAAGGATTCTATATCCATTCTGTAATAAGGTGACCAGAATTGAACTGCGTAATCCAAGTAAGGTCTCACAAGAGCAAGATATAGTTTAAGGATGACCTCCCTAGTCTTGTAACTTACACTCCTTTGTATGAACCCAAGTACTTTAGTAGCCTTGTTTCGAGCAAATACACATTGTTTACTTGGTTTAAGATTCCTACTTATCATTACTCCTAAATTTTTCTCGCAGTCGGATTTCTCAATGACATCGTTGTTCATATGGTATCTGGTTTCCCTGTTTACATCTCTTATACTGAGAACTTTACATTTGTCCACATTGAATTTCATCTGCCATTTTTCAGACCATTCGAAAAATTTATTTAGATCTTCCTGTAGCTTTGTGGAGTCCTAGTCAGATTTAATTACACGCTCTATTTCAGTGTGATCAGCAAATTTGCTTATGTTGCTGTCTACGCCTATATCTATGTCGTTTATGTATATAATAAATAATAATGGTCCAAGTACTGAGCCTAGGGGAACCCCACTAGTGACGTTGCTCCAATGGGATTTAGCGCCGTTAATGCTCACTCGCTGTTTCCTGTCCTGTAACCACGCCCTAATCCATTTTAGAATATCTCCTTTAATGCCATGAGCCTCCACTTTTCTTATTAGTCTTTCGTGGGGGACTCTGTCGAAGGCTTTGCTAAATTCGAGATATACCACATCATAATTGTGTCTCGTGATGTAAGATGTGTCGAGGGATAAATCCAATGAAGTAATTGCCCTGTGTAATTAATAATTTTCTAGTGTTGTAGGGATGGTGCTGATGATTAATACAAATGACATACCTTTACCTGTGCGTCTCTTTAACCACAAGCTCAGGAACACCAGCCCAGGTCACGGTAAATACTAAAAGTATATATAAAATTTTTGTCTGTGCTGATTCCTTAGTCCGAGGGGTCCTACCACTGCATTACCATCCTTAAATAATCCCAATAAGATTTTTAATCTGTTACACACACACACACACACACATGTATACAGTATATATATATATATATATATATATATATATATATATATATATATATATATATATATATATATATATATATATATATATATATGTAATATTCAGAAATTTCAGTGTAATTTCAAACACCGCGCCATTGGCGATACTGAGCTTTCAAGGTCGTCGGAGGGAAGAGAGCGCTCCCTGCACATAGCGAGAGGTTGTGGAACTAGGCCTAAGTGATATTAAATGTAATTTGCCGAATTAATAATGATGCGATTCATGAAGTTAAGGGACTATTATTGAATTTAAAATTATTATAGATCGTTTATCAGTCTTAATAATGTTACGGGTGTCCCAAGGAGTTATTAGTTAGGCGGAAAATATGTCACGTAGGCCTAAGCTGACGACTTGAGAGGACACAGGCGGGCTCTCTCTCAGTCACGGGGAAGCATTCCGACAAACAAGACGTCCCTGCGCGTCCGTCACAGAAATAGTCACGTGGCCTAGTCACCTGTGTTCCGCTATTGCAGCATAACAAGTAAGTCTCATTCGATCTCAGACAGGGTTTAGATAGGGCAGTGATAAAATTAACAAGAGCTAACAGTGAGTTCATTTCAGGGTTCCGTCAGAACCCACTTGACTGCCGGAAATTGACTGCCAGAGATTGACTGCCGTTTGAGACTGCCGTTGATATATATATATATATATATATATATATATATATATATATATATATATATATATATATATATATATATATATATATATGCAAGTAAATCACTGTAGGTGCGCGTGATCTAGGTATATGCTGATAACCACAAGGAAAGAAGAAAACACGAAGTTCCCAAGTGCTTTCGTGTAATTCACATCTTCGGGGTGAGTACAGACTATAGAGAAGTGCAAAACAAGGTGTATATATACAGAGGAGGGTGAGACCAGGTCGACAATGGTCAGGTATTAGGTAATGACCCTACTAATCTTTAAATAGCACGGCAACGGTCGGTAGTCAGGTCAGAGGGAAAGGCGACCCAACCTTCTCACCTGGTTACAAATCTTCTTAATTACAAAATTGTCCAGTTTGTACATGCCATTACAGGGTCACATACTGGGACCAAGAGTCCAGTGGAACATTCCAAAGTTGAGAAAGGCTGGTTTGGGCCTTAAACTATGGGTGCTTGTTGGTTGTGCCTTAAAAACTACGGAGTGCAGGTGGAATCTATGTGTTAGGTTAGGAAGCATAGTTCACGGGTATTGGTGGACTCAGTAACTTCTTAATAATAGTGATAATATTTTTGTGTGTACTTAATACTATTTTTTCAGTTACTAATGTATGCTGTGGGCATTTAATATTTCCTTATAATTTCAATCTCAGTTATAACCCTTGTTCCCCAGAGTAGTGTTTAAGTTAGATTAGGAGGTGTGTATCTGGTGGGGTAATATAATTTTGCTGAGTGCCCTGAAGGCCTACTCAGGGTTGAGTTAATAAGTTCTATTTTTTATACCATTTTCTCAGTGCTGGATATCATTTTGTTGAGTGCCCTTAAGGCCTATTCATTGTAGAGTTATTGATTTCCTATTTTTTTATGAAATCTTCTCAGTGATTGATATAATTTTGTTGAAAGCCCTTAAGGCCTGTTTCATATGTGCAAGTAACATTTCTTAATAATTTAAATTTATTGTTGTCTAATGAGGCATTGACTGAATTTCTAATATTTTCAATATCATGTATAACCTTTATTCCCCAGAGTAGTGTTTTAAGTTCAGGTTAAGAGGTGCGCATATTGGTGTACCATTATTTGATTGTGTCTGTAGTGTTGGAGGGAATATATGTGTCTAAATTTTACAGTGTGTCTCATTCATCCCAGTCACAGACGCTATCCTTCCACAGGTTACGTACAATTCATTTTGTTTAGTAAATTTAAGTGTTCTTGTGCTGGTTCGGGATTTCTCTCAAAATGGGCGCTTCCACTGCAATTACCATCTAATAATCTTTAATAAACCCCAAGTCTAGTGAGACATTAAAGTCCAGTAAATTCCGACCGGTTACACACAATGGACTTGTTACGTGGAAAGCGTATTTTCATAAACAAAAATTCCTGATTTTAGCTTTGTACGTAGGTCTCTCGTCATTTTTATTGGTTTTAAATTAGAGTGCTCTTTCTTTAAATTTTGTGGAAGGTAAATTTAGGTATAATGTCACGTTTTTATTGTATATCACCTATGTTTTTAAGGCTCTGATGATGCAAAATGATTTTTCCGAAACGTTAGTGATTAAAGAAACCAAACTTAGTCAAGATGTTTGTGTTTTCCCTGGTTCTCCTCTTCGTTATATATATATATATATATATATATATATATATATATATATATATATATATATATATATATATATATATATATATATATATATATACAATCAACACCTCAAAGGTGAGGTGTTGATTGTATGTAAGTCCGCATGCTATTGGGCTAATGAAATATATATGGATCCTCGTGTTTCGAAGCCGGATTTGGTAAAACGTTACTCTGACCACCTACATGATACGGGTAGTCCCCATTAGAGGTTCACGGCGCCATAAGCTCGTTCAACAGGCTTTGTGTGAAATATAACAAAGTCTACAATTGCTTTTAGTGTCCTGGTGGTCCAGCGGTTAGCGTTCCCCAGTCACAGTCATGGGCTAGTGTCCTGTGGTTTCGAATCCTGGCGGATTGACGTGTTGATTATATATATATACAATTTCTTTCTATTCTTTTTTTTTAGCCCCCCAGGCGTGGATAAGATAAATCTTGATAAAATCACACAGGAAAAGGGAAACAATGGAGCACCTTAGCTTTCGTCTTTATTCACGACATCTTCAGAGGCAATTGAATTACAAGGAATGAGAGAGGCTTATGTACACAGGGTGACCCTGCAAAATGTGAGGTCAGGTCAAAAACATGACATCCTCTAATCCACACACCAACACCACCGCAAACATAAGAGGAGGTTAAAAGAAAGGGCGACGTAACTAGTCATGTTAATCAGGTCAAAAATATAAGACCCACTAATCATCTATCCTACATTTACCTCGAATGCTTTCAAAGTATTTTTAACCTGAGGCCACTGATAAATAATTTTGTATAACATATCAGTTTGTACTGAACATCACTAAATTTTATAGAATTCAATTCTCTAATCAAACTTGCTTCAACCAGAAGCCTTTCTGTGAAGTATGATGATTTATACACTTCTAAACTGTTTTTCCAATCTATGGGATGATAAGTATTGTCCCTTAAATGAATGAACAGTGCACTGCTTTCAGATGCTGCTCTAATATTGTACTTGTCCTGTTTAATTCTGAGTTGCAATGCTTTCCCAGTTTGACCTACATAATTTCCAGTACAATTGCTAAATGGAATACAAAACACTTCCATTTACATTCAAGGTTGGGCTATTCTTAATTATTATATTAGTAATAGTTGCGTGTTGGTGTGTGGATTAGTGGATGTCATGTTTTTGACCTGACTTTATGTGTTGTAAGGTCACCCTGTGTATATAAGCCTCTCTCAGTCCTTGTAATTCAGTTGCCTTTGAAGATGTCTTGAATAATGACGAAAGCTAAGGTTCTCCATTGTATTCCTTTTCCCTGTGTGATTTTACCAATATATATATATATATATATATATATATATATATATATATATATATATATATATATATATATATATATATATATATATATATATATATATATATATATATATATATATATATATATATACAACGTATTGTCCCTGGGGGAACAGGTATGGTCACTATTCTTTGGAGATCTTCCGCGCTTCTCGCCTGGTAGTTGACACAGGTCTACACGCCCTCGGCTGGACCCGTCAGGAGGCCGTCGACTACCTGATTAACCACACAGCCATGACTACTGTAAAAGTGGAGGTGGGTCATATTTGTGTTTACATCACGGATTCCTTACTTGACGTGTGGTAGGTGAGTGTGACAAGTCTTATTTGGTCACTGGGGAGAATGTAAGGGAGTTATTGAGAGAAAATTATTATTTATTCCTTCATCTTAATAGGGATATAAATATACCAACATGGTCTCAGAAGCATAGCGGTAAAACTCAAGTGATGGAAGTTGAGCTGAAGTTCGGTCAATGTGATTTCAGGATCTTAAATATGGTATTGCTAATCTATGGCACACGAATTCTTATACTTTTTCTTGCCTTACGCACATTAATTAATTCGTAATTGTGTGAGTCGTTGCAGAATGAGGTGGACCGGTACATTACTATGCCGGGCCAGGCGCTGGCTTACAAGGTGGGGCAACTCAAGCTAATGGACTTGAGGTACAAGGCCGCCAGTGTAATAGGCGACGAGTTTGACATTAAGAAGTTCCATGATGTTGTACTGGACTCTGTCGGACCTCTGGACCTGGTGGAGGACGAGGTCAACGCTTGGGTTAATGCTGGAGGAAAGAAACTTGATGTGGTGAGAGTAATACAATGTATAAAGTTATGGTCTTGTTAATATTACATCATCCATAACACTGCCCTGCATAGTTTTTGAGGTTTGTGTATTATTAAGCTTTTCTGGGTGTATTTTGCATGCTGATCTCAAAACTGTTATCAATTTTGCTCAATCAGGTCAGAATTTTGTGCTATAGCATTTTAAGCGGAGATTCAGGTAAAATATTGGCATTTATCGATCAAAATGGGGTCCTCATATTCGTTCATTAAAAAAATCATCAGAGACATTGGCAAGCCTCACAGAAAAGATTTCGGTCAGTTTTAATGCCCTTACGATGCATTTAAATACACCCACGTGCTCGCCGGCCATTTAAATGTCCGCCGTGACGCAAAGGAAAAGAGTATATGTCCGTGTTTTTTTACATATATTTTTTCACAATTAAATTTCTTTTTCATCTGGTGGTACATGGCATGTTTCCTCTGTCTGTGGATAGTCGAGCAGACAAGCAGCACTACATGCAATGTAACTGGCCTGCAAGAAGTGGACTTACTACAGGTTCTCATAATGTTGTTGCCCATGCTCTGGTGAATCCGCAGAACATTCTTCTTCCGCCACTGCACATCAAGCTCGGTCTGTTCAAAAACTTTGTAAAGGCACTGGACAAAAAAAGCCAGGCTTTCAATTTTCTGAAAGAAAAACTTCCAAAAGTCAGTGAGGCAAAGCTGAATGCAGGAATTTTTGATGGCCCTCAGATCAGAGAACTTTTCAAAGATCCCAAGTTTGATTGCAGCATGGATGTAAATGAGAAGAAAGCCTGGCATGCCTTTAAGTCTATTGTCTCCAATTTTCTTGGCAACTACAGAAGTCCAGAGTATGAACGAGTTGTTGAGGACCTACTTCTGAGCTACAAAGTTCTTGGTGCACGCATGTCCATCAAGATGCACTTCCTCAGTTCCCACTTGGACTACTTTCCAGAGAACTGTGGTGATGTGAGTGAGGAACAAGGAGAACGCTTTCATCAAGATATCCGTGTAATGGAGGAGCGGTACCAGGGTCGCTGGGATATCAACATGCTCGCCGACTACTGTTGGTGTCTGAAACGGGACGCCCCAGACACCAACCACCAAAGAAATTCTCTGTGACAGCCATTTATGCATGTCTAACTGTAAAGGCATCTATGTAGTTGACATATTTTGGTCCTATGTGTTGTGGTTACATTTCTTATGATATGTTTTGTATAAAAATTTTGACATCATATTTAAGAATTTCGATTTTTTCCTAATTCCCATAGCATGAAAATCTGACCTGATTGGGCAAAATGAATGGCATTTTTGGAATCAGCACGCAAAATACATAAATAATCAGCTAAGAAACCCCGCACCTCATGATTTTTTTTTTCAAATGCAGCCCAGTGTATAATCTGAAGTAAATAAAATGTGATCATCTCTTCATTTTTATTTTCCTAAAAGGGAATAAATGTAAGTATATCCGTCATAAAGTGTTATGGAAATTTTTAGAAGACTTTGATAATTTTTTTTTCCGAGATACACGGAGGAAGGGGAGAGAAGAAGTACAGTCACCCAAAAAAGTCCTGTCGCGAACCATGAACCCCGAGATTCAGACTCTTGAATCCGAAGCATATATGGACAGAATAATGTATCAGTGTCTACTGCTTCGGGTTCACGAGTCTGAATCTCGGGGTTCGTGGTTCGCGACAGGACTTTTTTGGGTGACTGTACATAGGAGAATTAGGTGCGAGATGTCTGACTTAAGATAAAGCAGATATGACACCTACTCAACACCTTTTATCTCTTTCCTAAAACCCCACCCCTGTTGGCTACCCCTACCCGCCTTTATACCACCCTACTATTGCGACCACGCCCTCTCCACCACTGTAACTCGTCGGCCAGAGCGACTCGGCGCTTGTGTTCAAAGGCTACAGTGGCATCTCTATTTCAAATGACCGGAACTCTAGTTCTAAATCATGACGTAAAAAATGGTTTAAATATGTACTATGGACTAAAGTATAACTTAATACAAACTATTCATCCACTTTGGTTTGGTGTAAACAATCGGGATTTTCATTTTTTCTGCCTCAGAGTACGGTACCCTCGCAATACAGTGGGTAATTCGCACAATCAATGAAATAATGCACTTCACAAGATTTCCTTTATTTAATATAACTGGTGTATCTTTTATTTTCTAAGAATATCAGGAGTCAAGATCTCTATTTTCTCTTGATTTTGGAATGTTTAATAAAGAAGGCCTTCCATGTTCCTCCTGTCAATGTTTCCGATGCCAAGACAAACATCATAAAGTAGTTTCTGTAAATCAGTCTTGTACCTTTTCAAGATATTCACCTCCTTATCCATTTGTGTGTATTGATCCTTATTTAAATGCCAAAAAAGCCAAATTTCTTTCTTCCATCAAATTTAAATACAAAGCTTTTCACAGGAGTTAACTATATGTTTCCTAAAATAGACAGATATAATATATTGGATTGACTAATAGACACATAAATGGATACAATTTTATGTTATGACCTCTGGGAAATTGGCATTTTTGCACAATGACCGGTCTATTTTCAAAATGACTACTTTCGTTCAGTTTGAATGCTCCGATTGCGGTCACAGAGGTAATAAAGCAGAGGGACATTACATCCATCTTTAACCTCTTCACTCACAACAGAGCATGGAGCATAAATATGACATGGGTTACCACAGTCCTTGCACACATTAGAGCGACAGTAATTTTTACCACAGGAGATGCATTTATGGCTGACTCTGCATGTCAATCATAGTCCAGGAGCAAGACCCCAAAAAGGGCCTAGTTTTCGAGTGTGTCGGGTCAACAGGGTAACGTTTGTCTGCATAGCAAAAACTAGCATTGGGGTGTGGAGATCATGAAACCAAGTGTTGCTATTGTAAAAAATGCGTGCGAGTTATATACGGCGCCATTTTCTAAAATGGCCGACGTTTCTGTTACGAGTGTCGGAAATAAGAACCAATGAATAAATTACTGGTCAGCATATGAACTTCAAATGAGTCGTTGTGTAGACACCGAAGCAGTTAAAATTTAGATATTATATGTTATACTTGAAATGTAACATTGGTTTTGATGTGTTAGGTAAAACAAAGTAATGTTTATTATATTATCCCGAATACTAATGAACGAGTGAGCGTTCAATGATTGT